TAAAACTTTTTGTCCATTTACGATTTCTTTCCAATTTGATGAACAGTCTTTCAAGTCAACACCTTTTGGTTATGCCATGATTATGCAATGCAGACAAAAGAAATCAATATAAACAAATTAGAGTAATGTAACTTGCATGGAAAAATAAGAAAAAAAAATAGAATAGTTAGTACCAATTAATGAAAAGAAAATTTCTATCTATCAAGGTATAAATCTTAACCTCATGCTTTCTAGTTCCATGCTTTGTTTAGAAAAGTTAACCTAACTGCATGATTTCTAGTTCGCATGTATTTATTCAGAAAAAATAAAATAAAATAAATTAAAAGCTAGAGCTTATTTCTCCTTTGTGTACACCTATTTTGGACAAAATTTCAGCATGGCTTTAGATCGGGAGTTTCTAGGGTTTACTATATGCAGAGTTTCAGTTCTAAGAGTAAAGGTACTCGAACTGTCCTTGTTGATGCCCCCTTGGGCTGCCAACCCTCAATCCTAGTCCACTACAGACTTAAGCGGATCGAGTTCAATTCGAGGGGACACATTTCCCTATGCCTGACACGGAGAATAAATTCTCACGAAGATATAGGATATATGAACCCCGAAAGTTACTTGCTAGGTCTGACACGGAGAATAAATTCTCACGAAGACGTCGTTTTTACTCCCACTTAAAAGGGACAAGCTTGATTATAAAGCTTATGTTATGCAATGCAAGTGTTTTGTGTGAGGAGAAATTTTCAAACCTTTGACAAAATAAAAAATGAAATAAAATAAAGGCATTAAGAAATAATATAATAAAAATTATGAAAATCATAAATAATAAAAAAAAATTGAAAGAAAAGAATTATAAATTAAATAAATATGAATTTTTAATTTCTATTTGATAGAGACAATTTATAATTAATTTCAAAGCTTGACCAGTCCCCAGCAGAGTCGCCAAGCTGTCGTAACCGATTTTTGCCCGGGCACGAATTTTTACTTGGCGGGAAAAGTGATGTGAATAAATAGTTTTTTAAAATGTTTTGGGAGTCGTCGTTGGCCTTTTAGCTCAAGTAGGTCGAATACCTAAAAATTATCTTTTAAATTTTTTTAAGAAAACATCAGTTAAAAGATAAACTGGTCTGCGTTTTAACCAAAAATTTGTTCTTTTTAATAATAAAAAGGGATTCGTGGTCGATTACGTTTGGGGAAGGATTAACACCCCCGCAACTCCCAAAATTGGTACTCATTAATTATAAATTGTCTCTATTATTGGAAATTTAAAAATTTTAAAATATATTTAACTCACAATCCTATTATTTCAAATTTATTAATATAATTTTAAGAAAATATATTAATAAGATATTTATTTACTTAGAAATATCAGAAAATGACTTCTAGGTGTTTTAAGACAGCTCATTTCTTAATATTAAGAAATAAATAAATAAAACATAAAATAATATTTATAAAAGTAAGATATTTATTTATTTAAAAATATCAGAAAATGGACTCCAATTGCTTTAAGACTGCCATTTCTTAATATTGAAAAGCAAATATTAAAACATGATTTATATTATATATATATATATATATATTTTTAAGCATATTATTTATTATTTTTTAATACCAGAATATGACATCTAGTTGTTTTAAGACTGCCATTTTCTTAATATTTTAAAAATAAATAAATATTATTATCTAATCAAATTATAAAATTATAATATTGTATTTCACGTGAATATTAGTGAAATAACATAAATAATAAATAAGTAAATAAGTAAATTTTTAATTTAAACATATTAAAAAATAAATGATAAAAAATATAATAAAATTGAAATTAAATGACCAAAATAACATGAATTAAAACTTACAGTATTAAAATATAATTTATTTAAATTAATGAACATAACTCGAAATATTATAAAAATACAATTAATAATAGTGTAATTATCCCTTTATTAATCAATGATTAGAATAATAATTATTAAAATTAAAGGCTCTAACTCGAATAAAAAACAGTCTGAGTGCTAATAACGTAATTTAGCCTTATTTAATTAATTCGTGTTAAAATAATAATTATTAAACTATAAGGGACTAAATTAGGTATTTACCCTAAATATATATATATACAGATAAGGACTGAAATAAAATAAAATAAAATAAAATAAAATTACGAGACCAAATTAAAAGGATTAGCAATTAATTCCAGTGACTAAATTGCAATGTTACAAATCTATGGGTATTGCGAAAATGATTTTCCCAAAAGCGAAATTACACAAATACCCTCCCAAAACGGTATTGTTTGGGAGAGGGTATATAAACCCTTTAACCAGCCCAAGAGGGCCATTTTTCTCTAAAAGGCTCTGCTCGGAAGGAGCCCAGGCACCGACCGGTCGCCGTGCTTTGGCGCCGGTCACGACCGCCGGCCACTGTTCACGATGGCCGAAAATTACGACCCTATCCCTAGAACGTAGATATAGAAGTTATTTTAACCCAATCTGAGGTTATTTTAACCTAAAACCCTATAATGCATCGTAAATCTACAGTTTTCACCTTCGGTTTTTCGATTCTCCGGCGGAGTTTGAGGTTTTTCGACGACAGAGTAAGTTCTTCCTCTCTCTTCTCTTTTATTTTTGTTTCTGGTTGCGGTGTTGTGGGTTCGCTGGGTTGTTGTTGTTCGTTGTCATATGGTTGCTGGTATCTGTCTTCGGTCTCTTGCTCTCTATCGCTCCGCCTTTTTTTTTTGTTTTGCAGGGAAGGGTGGCCATTTATAGGCCTCATCGGAACTCCCTTCGGTCCGGTCTCAAGAGTGAGGGTCGGTGAGTCACCGAGCTATGTGGTGACTCACCCCATAGCTGCGACGTGGACGGCCGTTTGGGTCTTCTGGAAGCTTCGTTGTGGCAGTAGGGTGTTGACGTGGGGTGACTTTCTGAGGCGGCGAAGTGGTGGCAGCAAGGGAGGTGGCGACGTGTCCCTAAGGTGATGATACCCTAGGGTTTCATTTGGAACCTCTGGGGACCGTTGGATCTAATCATATCCAACGGTTGATAGAGAAGGTGGCTGCTGGAATGAGGCATAAACCCTAATCTGGTTTAAAGTTTTATTGTTGGGCCAAAACTGGGTCGGTTGTAACTGTAATCGGACCCCAATTTTGGGCCTTGTATTCTTTATTTAATAATAATAATAGATATAATAGATATTATTAAATAATAAAAGTAATAATTAAAGTAAAATGAAAAATTAGTATTTACAGTTGTATAGATATATATAAAATAGGAAGGATCGTTTTGAAATAAGAGAAAGGAGAAGAGAGAAAAAGTCCATCTTATTTGGAAGAGGTGTTTATTTTTAACGTGCAAAACATTAAACGTGGCATAATGATGTAAAAGGGAAACAATCTTCCTCTAATACCCTTCGCGTAATTTATGATAGTTTAGCCTTTTAATCATAATAGGTGTTCCGTAAGAATGTGACTTCTCCGAAATGATCCCTCTAAAGAGAAGGAGAGATGCAATACTTGTCTGCGAAACGATCCCTCAGAACCAGATCTTCAAATTATTTGTTGTTTAAATATCATCGGCTGTCATTCATTTTTCTGTCGCCACTGTTGTTTTTCATCTTCTTCTTCATCTATGCTGCTCTTCAACGTATCATGCCTAGTTAAGTTCATGTTTTTTCAATCTACAAGGATTTCAGTTTCAATCGACAAGGTTATGTGCCTGTCTGAGTCATGAAAATCATCTTCGTTTCAAGTTATGTCGATAATGGCTATGAAAATGCCATATTCATCATCATTCCAGTGAGACGTTAAAAAAATCTGATTCTTCTGAAGACTAGTTATATTTCTCGGCTGGATTCATAATCTATACTAGTTAATTGAATATGTTTCTGGTACCGGTAGAGTTGTTGTTGATAACTTGTGCACACTACAGTTGCATGATATTTGGACTGATTTTTATGATATGTTTTGCAATATTGAAATATCTATAGCTTTATGTTGCTGGTTTTCTGATTCGCATCTTTGTAATCTTTTGTGTGACAATTTTGGGGACATATTTCTTGGTAAATGTTGAGGACTATCATTGGCAGTGAACATCACTCTTCGCTTGCTATTAGAAACTGCTCACTTCCTAGCTCATAGTTTAGTTGAGACTCTTTTACATTGTGCCCATTGATATACATATACTGTTTGCTGTTGGGATAATGCTACTCATAATTGCAGTTTCTGGTAATGTTGGTTGTTGCATAATGTTGTTATTTATTCTGTGGTTTTAGTATTATAAGTTGTTGAATTTAGAGTATAACATTTGATGAACCCACTGATAGTGTGTTGGATTTGATCCTCTGCTTATCGTTAAATATTAATTTGTGGCTTCAATATACTTTCGTTGAAAATATTTTCTTTTCGATTCGAAAATCAGCTTAAAAGTTCAACAACCAGCTCAAATGTCGATGTTTGCAAAAGCTCACTACGTTTGTATTTCTTGCTCAAGAATCAGTCATTTGAAGAAGGTCAAAAAGGTTAAAGAAGTATGGTGAATGTTAGAATATAGTGAGTAGGCTGTTATAAGTTTGTTGGACTAGCTAGGTTAGTTGGACTATTTTGTAATTGGGCTATGTAAGCCACACATGTAATGAATCTCACTACTTGACCCCAAAACCCAACGGCGGAACACAATGTGACTAGTGGGGCCACGGTTAATTTAGACTTTTAAAATTTTTAAAATATGTAATTTGGTTTCCACAAAATTTTTAAAAATTCATATTAGTTTTTAATTTTTTAAAATTCTTAATTAAACCCCTCTTATAATTTTAAAAAATTCTCATTAAGACTCTCAAATTTTCAAAAACTTTAGTTAGATCCCAATTTTTTGAACCTTTCAAAATTTTCAAAAATTTTAATTTAAACCTTTAATTTTTTTAAAATTTTAAATTACCCCTCTAAAACTCTATGACTAAGTTCCGACACTGCTAAAACCTTTGATGAGTGATGATAATATTAACACGAAGAGCATCAGGTGCTAGTGGCAAATCATGTAATTAAATTCGGTAGTATCTATTAAATCAATGCAACCTAATGTGATCGTCATTTAAATTCATGACGCTATGAGGCGGTAAGCTATGTTGGGGAAGTGGAACTAGTCCTTGCCGGTTGAAGCTCCAGCTGATTTCCCCTCTGGTTTTGAGAAAACAGAGTGCTCAGCCACACCCAAAGTCCTCTGCCCATCAACATTCCTTGTATGAAACTCTCCCAACGCCTCCTCATTAGTCCAATAACTGTGATTACCATTGCAATTACAGATGTCGAGCCTGACAGAATGAACAAACCTGAAAATGGTCCGGGTCCTATTCCTCGTTTTATGGTTCCACCAATTGTTGAACTCGAACAACGGGAAAAAGATAACATCTCTTTCTTCATTTGATCGAATTTCCCACTCACTCGTAACCGCAGCATCGCCTCTGCCATATCTGGAACAAATGGAGAACCTCGTGGAAAAATCTGCAATATAACAAAAGAAAATGGTCAAAAGGCATCCCTCAGAGCATGAAACCAAACATGAATTGAAGAGAATCGTTCATATTACAATTGAAGAACCCCGTAGATCACATTTTGGACCCCAAGCTTTGAAGCCTTTGCAGTATTTTGCTTGGAAAACACCCAAATAAGGTGCCCAAATGAATGCAGCCTTTATATTTCCACTTGATAGAGCCTTTGCATAATCATCAATAGATGATGAAGCAATGTGCTTGATATTCTTTCTTTGGAACCCAACGGCCTCCACTAAATAGTGGACCATAATCGAATCTTCCATATCACAACCAACAATAGCATTTGTTTTCTTGAGATTTTCTATATCAACAAAAGATGACGACTTGGTCTCTGAGCTTGTTATCATGGAAGTAAAGCTTGCCGTATAGGTTGAAGAAACAACCAGAATCAAGATGAACCATGGGGCCAACACAAAATAAGTCAAGTTGTTCCTTGGTGATTCACCTGCAACACAAAAATAAGTAAGGGTAAAGCGATATCCATATAGAACATGCTCAATAACAAGCTGAAATGAACCACTATAGATCATCTTACTATGCCCTCCATAGAAGAGAGTTGTGAAAGGGAACCAGAAGTTTGCTGCAACTTGTCTAAATGGTGAACCGCCAGATTCATGACCAGTTCTACATTCAACTAACCAAATAACAAAAGCATTAAAGACCGCCATTGCTGCCAAAGTAAACCACATCTCGCTGGTGAAAGGGATCATGAATGAAAAAACTTGGTTCAATTCAGGGTTTTCCTTCATCACTAGCATCGGGCCAAGTTCAAAATATGGATATGGGAATTCTACCAGCTTAGACCGTTCTTTCGTAATTACTGCTAAGCCAATGGCTGCATCAAAAGTCTTCAATGCATAAAAACGTTTTCGAAATTTCCGTCAGTCACCTCATGTTTGATAATAGCTACTTACTTTTACTAGATTCATGATTCAAATATTCAAAAATTCAATCATTTAGGTCATAGTAGAGTTAAAATCAACTTATGTACATGGTGAGGTTTGTACTAAATGTGAAGCAGGTGAAAAAGAGAGAGGGAACTATAAGGAACAAACTAACCTTGCGAGAAAGTTCCTTCAACAATTGATCATCAGAACCGTAAAAAGGAATCAGTTTATAGGTAATATTGGTTGGCATAACTGAAGTAGCTTCTTTAAAAATATCAACCCAAAACCCTGTTATTTCTGTTTCCTTGGGGTTCTTCTCATCGTGACTTATGTTAAGAAACTGACTGGGAATAGATCTTACTGGCACGGCAATGCTTAATTCAGTGTAATAGTTCATTGGCTTTGACGTCAGAAACGATAAAGTTGCAGCCATTTGAATGATCCCATCTTCATTTTGTGTTGGATGGCGGTTATTCAAGTTGAAAGTGACGATGTCTAAATCACTAATTCTGTCAGACTCCTCGTAGACTATCTTTCCAGGCTTTAACCACCTATAGTTGCCAATTAGACTGGCAATTTCACGAACAATTTCATACATATGACGAGACATGTAACTTGTTGAGGATTCGTTTCCCATTGCTGCTTTATCTTTTGCTGGCAGCGCACAAATTATGTTTGCCTCGACTCTCCTCGTAAAGGCGTTGACTTCAGCGGAGACTGCAGTTTCATAATTTGTGACAGTACATAGAATTGGTAACCTGTGTGAAGTCAGATTTTGGATGGCCACATAATTTTGATAATGATCTGCAATATTATGAACAGCTACTTTTTGGTGAGATTCATACATCAATTCTAACATAATTAAAGTAGGATGAAATGCTTTGGATCACTTTACCATCGAGATCTATGGGAGTAACTTTTCCATGCGAATGGTTGAAGTTTAATTGGATATGGTGTGCATCTCCGGCGGTGTTACAACGCATCATACATGAAAAATCATCAGCATCTTTCTGATCACTTCCATCTCGTATCCCACCACTGCTGCTGCTGCTGCTACAATTTGATGACAGTAATAGTAGCAAAACAAAAAGCTTGGCAAAGATGGTACTCATTCCCTCCGACATGCCTCTGATGAATACAAATCTTTCTGTTTCTCCTTGAAAATTGAAACTGGATCTCCATTCGTTTGAGTTGCAGGAAAGGGCAAGCTGAAGTTTATCATTTTGGGTCAACGGTAGGACTTTCCTGGCGTGTTCCCATGTCCCTGTCCACCGTAATGTTATCTTTAGGAACTTACATTATTTGGAAACCTCATAGTAATTGTGGTAGGGCCATGTTGTGTGGATAAATGAGCTTTTTAAAGTTAAGCCGGTATTATTGATCCTTCATATCTGTCTCACCCCTTAGGACTCTTAACATGAAATTGAACAGTTAAATAGTCGCCATAATACTACTTGTCAAGAGACTATTACCTTTTATTTACAAAAATATGTCTAATAAGATGTCAAATGTCATTGCTTTAAAATCGTACGGCCTCTCGTTTTTTTTACAACGTAAGATTAATATATTTTGTAACCCTAATAAGTAACACACATTAGCACTTGATTTTAATCTAGCAACTCAACTATATAATTTGCTTGATTTAATTAGCTAAATTACTCACTAATCTTTATAAAACAAGATGTTTAATCCGTAATTTAAATCCTTACTCTACAAATTGTAAAAATTCTCCAAATCATGCAAATTTCTTAGTTTCTCCTAATAAGGACCACCGAGATTCCAGTAAAATCGAGAGATTAACAAAATGAACATAGATAGGGTTGAGCATTTAAATCGAGTTCGACGGGTTCTAACCCGATCTAACCCTGTAGGGTCAATTTAAAAAAAATCAAATTCAGATTCAAACCGGATCGAATTGTATATGAGAGAATATCGAATTTGGGTCGAAGTGGGATTTAGTCACAGCCCATAGCCTACTTACTAACCACAATCTTTGTTGCGGACCATTTTTTATCACCAATTTCGTATACCGATACAAAGCCAAAATAAATCAAGTCTTGGGATTTGTAGGTTATAACACGAGGATAAGCTCATCAACAACTTAATGAAACATTTATAATAATGGCAACCGTGAATTATAATCATGTATTATACGAAGATTTTATTATTGCCAACAATGTTAAAATACAATGCTTAACTCTTAATTTTAATTACAATAATTCAATTCTCCTTATTATTACCATCAAGGGGGGACGTTAAGAGTGGCAATCTAATCCATGATTCCCAAATTGATCCAACCAAAAGGTTTGCATTTAAAAATAGCTTGAACAAAAAAAACACAAACCTACACCTACCTTTCTTCTTTTTAATTAGATTAAGGAACCTTATAAAGTTAATAATTGATGGTTAAGGACATCAAATCTTCTTGTGTAAAACTACTAGATTTTCACTGACCCATCAACCATATTACCAAATATTCAAATCATATTATATATGTCAAATTGGCTTTTTTTATTTCTTACGCTATGCTTTTATTATATGTATGGAACTAATAATGATATTTCCACTATAAGGAAAATAATAATGATATTTCCAAACAAATGACAAAAACATTTCACCTTGCTACATTTTCGTTCAAAATTGTATTTTAGAAAGCTGAAACATAATTGAATATAAAAATATACAAATTTGAGTTAACTGCATTATATGTCCCCAAATTATGATTCTAATTTTAATTTGGTCCCTAAACTTTAGAATATTCTAATTTCATCCCCAAATTATGATACTAGATTAAATTAGTCCTTAAACTTTTGAAAATTCCAATTTCATCCTCAAACTATGAATTTCATTCTAACTTGGTCCCCAAACTTCTAAATCTTTCAATCTCATCCCCAAATTCATCCAAATACGTAATTAACTTTAACCATAGTTTAACCGAAATTTTATTTTCTCAAACATATAGTAGTATAGCTTGGCCTAATGATTTTATTAACAAGGAATGTGATTAGTATATACATATAGTTTGGGATGAAATTGGATGTTAAAAAAGTTTGGGGACCAATTTAGAACAAAGGATAAATTTTGGAATGAAAAAAATGTTCAAAAGTTTAAGGACTAATTTAGAATGATAATCATAGTTTAGGGATAAATTAGAATATTTAGAAGTTTAGAGATCAATTTAAAAAGATGATGATAATTTGAGAACATGTGATACAATTAACTAAAAAAATTGAATTTAAAAATAAAAAAAATAAGTTTGGATTTCAAAAATATGAAACTTATGAAATGTAACACAAGTATACAATTAGTAATAACATTTTACACTTTTAAATATTTATTTAGTAATATATTTTAAATTTATTTTAAATATTTCTGAATGACAATTGATATTATATTTTTAGATATTGAATACCTAATTATTTATAGAGTAACGAATTTCCCCAAAAATCATCATATCTTTTTTTATTTTCCTGTAAGACACCCATGCAGGTATATTTCTCGATCTAACACCTTTTGTAGAAAGGCGAGACCCATGCACCGCGCCTTAGGCTGAAGTGGCGCACGTGTTGAAAGGCGCAGCCTATGAACCGTGCCTTATGCAACGTGTAAAAACCATGTGCTAGTTTCATAAATTTCTTAAAATGATGCCAAATATGTAATTAATTTTTATTAGGATGATTTTTCTATAAAAATGTCAACTTTATTTATTTATTTTTTGTATGTGAAAAAAAAGTATACATTAAAATCTTTAAATATTTTTTTGCAAATTATTTTATAACTCAACAATTTTTTATTTTTGCATGAAATTACACAATATGTATAATTTAGTATAGAAAACTTTGATGGTAGTAATTTAAAATATGAATAATTTTATAAAAGTTTATAACTAGTATTTTTTTTACAAAATGATGATGATAATGGTAATAAATATTTATAATTAAAAAATTATAAATTTCATATATTTTAAAAAAATTTATTGACTTTTAAAATTAATTGTTTAAAAATATAAAAAAATATTAAAATAATTGATTTTTTAGCTTTACATTTTTTATTGAATTTTATTCATTTTTAATTCATTTTTATTGTATTTTTATTGATTTTTAAATATATGAGTTATAATTCAAATTAATCATTTATTATGTTATTATTCAAATTAATTAAGAAAAAATATGGTAAAATATTTATAAAAGAAAAGTATAAATGCATACATGAAAATATAAAGATTTTCCTTTCTTTTGTGTTACTCTCCAAACTTGTAACAAAATTCAATAAAAAAAGAATGTAAAAATAAAAAGTATCACATATATATTTAAAATATGTTTTCTAATATTAATTTTAAAAAATATAAAATAAATATTTAATTCTAATTTTATTAAAAATGAATAAACATTATTAACTGTTGTTAAAAATAATAATTAATGAATAATAATTCATTTGATTCCTTAATTGTAATTAAAAATTTATTTTAATATTTTTTTTTATATTTTAGATAATTAATTTTAAATATTAAAATAAATTTTAAAAGTCGATAAATTTTTTTAAAATATATGAAATTTATAATTTTTTAAATTATAAAATAATTTTATCATCATCATTTTGTAAAAGAAATATTAGTTATAAAATTTTTATAAAATTATTCATATTTTAAATTACTTATACTCAAAATTTTTATACACTAGATTATACATATTGTGTAATTTCATGCAAAAATAAAAAATTATCGAGTTATAAAATAATTTGTAAAAGAAAATTTAAAGATTTTAATGTTATTTTTTTATACACAAAAAATAAATTAAAAAAATTGACATTTTTACATAAAAATCATAATAACAGAAATTAATTACATATCTAACACTACTTTAAAAAATTTACGAAATTAATACCTGATTTTTACAAATGGATACAGTATAAGAGCCGTGCCTTTCAACATATGACCTAAGTTGTAGTGCATAGGCCACGACTTTCTAAAAGATGTTAAATAAAAAAATATATTTGATAGGGTGCGACAAGAAAATAAAAAGATGTAGGGTGATTTTTTTTTTTTTTGTTGGAAAATCGCCTATGAATTGCATCATCTTCTCGGAAACCTAAAAATTCAATTTTCCAACATTTTGTTAAAGAAAACAGTAGCAGAATCTCAAAGGTTGAAGCAGCTATATAAACAGCGTCACTCCTTCCCTTCTCCAAGTCTTCTCCACTCGCCTTCCTCACTTCACTTTTCTCTGAAAAACCAAGTTCAAAAATCTTGTCTTTTTCCGACAGCGTTTCGAGGGGAACTGGAAGAGCCACCGCAGGTTGCTTATTCAAGCAATAATGGTCGACATAGATCGGAGGATATCCGGTCTGAACCCTGCACATATAGCAGGCTTACGCCGTCTCTCTGCTCGTGCCTCCGCTCCTTCAACTGCGTCTTCCCTCTCCGTTCGCGACGGTCTTCAGTATTTCTCTTCATTAGCGGATAAAGTTATAACCCATTTACGGGAGTCGGGTTTCAAAGTCCAACCGGGTTTGTCCGACGCTGAGTTCGGTCGAGCTGAAGCTGAGTTTGGTTTTGTTTTCCCGCCTGACCTCCGAGCCATATTATCAGCCGGTTTAGCCGTGGGTCCGGGTTTTCCCGATTGGCGGTCCAATGGAGTCCGACCCCATCTTCGAGTTTTGATTAATCTTCCCATCGCTGCAATTTCCTTTCAGATAGCGCGTAACATGTTATGGTCCAAATATTGGGGCCCGAGACCTTCTAACCCGGAAAAGGCTTTACGGGTAGCGAGGAATGCCGTTAAAAAAGCTCCCTTTTTGATCCCCATTTTCAATCACTGTTATATTCCCTGTAACCCATCTTTAGCGGGTAACCCAATTTTCTTCATTGACGAAACCCAGATTTTCTGTTGCGGATTCGATATAACTAGCTTTTTCGACAGAGAACCTTTGTTCGGGAGCTCTGAATCCGACTCGGGCTGGTTGAAAAAACAGAGATCGGTCAGTGAGAAATCAGCCGTGTCGTCCTCTAACGTCTGGAGGCGGAGTAGTATAGATGCCGATTTCCTTAACGGGAATCGGGCCCCTAGATGGGTCGAGTTCTGGAGCGACGCGGCGGTTGATCATCGCCGGAGACACTCATCGTGTTCTCTCTCGAATTCTTCGTCCGACACGTATTTCGATATTCCGAGAACCAAAATTCCGAAATGGGTGGAGGGTTACATTGAGGAAATCGGATCCGTTCTTAGAGAAGGCGGGTGGAGTGAGTCCGACATAGCAGAGATCGTAGACGTGTCGTCATCTGGGTTTTTCGAAGAAGAGATGGTTTTATCGGATAACCAAGCAGTTCTGGATGCGCTGCTTTTAAAAGTAGAGCGGTTCTCATATTCGCTCCGGAAGGCTGGATGGAGCTCCGAACAAGTTTCGGATGCTCTAAGTTTTGATTATCGACCGGAGAAGGAAAAGAAACCTGCCAAGAAATTATCCCTAGAGCTGCTTACAAAAATTAGTGAATCAGTTGGCTTCCACAACAAAGTTTCGTTTTTTTAGTTATTCTAATTTTCTTTCTTTAATTTTTCAGGGTTTAGGGTTTCCCCCTCTGCCGGGTTTGTTGAAAAAATATACACGAAAAATAAAAATAGTTCAAATGGAATTCCACGACAATTCGCATTTCAGCACCAATATAATGATGACAAATTTTCCAATAATAACAACATTTATGTTACTCTTATTTTTAATTGTCATGGTCATGACTTAGAAGCACAATTTCATGTTTACATGTTTATTATTACCTTACACTCGGCACAAATATATTTTATGGATGTATTAGATATACAATTTTACGGGATTAATTTCCAACTATCCTTTTCTTTCCCATGTAAATCTTCTTCCGAAATAAAATATTTTTTATAATACGATTTGACAATGGAGGCTTTCCCGTTTTCGCACAGAAACCTGACACAATTTAGCTTTTTTAAGAAACGAAGCCATAAATCCGATATCCGAATCTTTATTGTGTGTTATTTTAAGACAAGTTGAATGGCAAAGCAGCAAATACAATAAGTTTCTGTCTGAGCTGAATGCTTCAGCTGCTTTTAAGGATGGATATGTAGGCGACTCTTTCTTGGGAGTAAAAGAGAGAGGGTTTAGGTTTTATACAGTTTTTTGGTGACCAAAACGATGAACACCAAATAATTGCATAGTAAAACACAAAGGTGGTTAGGTTCGTCAGATTTGGATCCCACTTTAAAGCATGCGCATTAACCATCAACCATCAACAGTTACTTCTGACAAACACAAGAATAAAAAAATCTTTTATCAAAAGAAAAACAATATAGAAACGAAAATGAAATTTATCGATGTTATATTCTTCCAAGTGCTGTGAACGGAAACAGACTTTTAAATGCACCAACGGCGTTTTTCTCAAAAAAAAAAAAAATCACCGATGATCGGTATATTTATCGATCTAACATAGATCAGATTATATTTTTAAATCTAACACCCGTAGTAGTAAAGCGCGCTCCCTGTCCCGCGCTAAATGTTAATTTAACGCCATGTGGGGTATAGCACTGCCCCTGCTCAGCGCTATATCTGGGTATGAATTATATTTAGCGCGGACTCTGGTCCGCGCTATACCTTTATTACATATAGAGCGGTGCAGGTACCACGCCTTATATTGTTATAAATACCCTTCGCTCCCCGTTAAGTTTCTCTCATCTCCTCACATCTCTCTCCTCTAACTTATAAATTAATACAACAATTCCGTCAACGAGTAATAATTCTGGTAATTTTCTCATATTTGATTTAAAAGTTCGTGCGATTTTTCGTTATAAATTTTTTTATTATACTTATTGTTTATTATGATTATTTGAAAAAATATATTATTAATTATTTTCAATTAATTTTTGTGTTTGTAAAATTGAAAAGCATGAGCATATATCAAAATAGTTTTGCGGTACAGGTAATAATATAAAATTATATTACTTAAATTATTTACGTTGATGTGTAAAAAATTTATTGTGTTATATTTTCGTTCATATATAATTTATTTAATCAGGTTTGTTTCAGTTATTTTTTTTGCAGATATAATATTGCCGCACTTTTAAACTCAAATAATGATGCAACTTTCAGCTATTGTTTATTATGATGGTAAAATTTGAGAAGATGAAACTGGCGTTGTTTTCATATCAAATGAGTGTGTTAAAATATCATTCAAGAGAAACATAACTCTTGAGGAGCTGATATCGAAGATTTCGAGGAAGATTCATGTTGGAAGTAGTAGAAGAATGTCGTCGTTGCAGTACAGATTTCCAACATCATTGTTGCCATTAACTTATACAACGTTTGAACTTTCGAACAATGATGATGTTCAAATGATGGTTGAAGCTAAAAGTAATTATTCAGACGCCACTATTGAGATGTATGCACATTTTGTTCAAGTGCGTGCTGTTCGGGGTCAATCTTTAAGCTCCCACTATGGGCTGGCTGAACAAGTTGATCAAGTTGACAGCCCGACTACAGTAATATGTAATGATTTTAATGCCATAATGGAGAGACATTCATCCGCAACTCCTTACGATATGTACCGAGGTGGGTCCACGAACAATCCGTATGGCAACACCGCGTCCAGTTCAAGGGGAAGGCATTCATCTGCAAATTTCTTTGACCATATGGAGATGCCATCGACTCAACCATCTGTGTAGTTTCCATTTGACACGATGACTTCAAGCTCCAGGGGGAGGCATTCGACTGCGAGGTTTTTCGATCTCAATGTCGATATGTCTTCCAGTTCAAGGGGAAGGCGTGCAAGTAGTAGGTTCTTCGACCTAAATGTGGAGAGCATGGAGGAACCATCATCTCCACCAGAAGAACCGCTTCGTGAGCTGGTGCGGATGGTGCTGAGACTGGACTATTCGTTCACCCAGAATCACCGCAATTCAACTCCAATGATGATGAAGTTCCAGGAAATATGGCACAAATTGACCCTCCTGCACATATGTATGAAGCTGATTATGGTGCAATGTACGGGCCAGAATTTGCGGATATGCCTCATCTCGGACACTATGGATATTACTCATCAATAAATAATGGTGAGTTATATTTAGGCATGGAGTTTTCAAGCAAAGAAGAAGCGGTGATGGCTATAAAAAATTACAATATCCGTAATTATGTTCAGTCCAAAGTCAATCGATCGACGATAGAAAAATATGTATGCTATTGTGCCCGACGCGAAAATGGATGCAATTGGATGGTTCGCGTATCAAAAATAAAGAGGAAAAACAATATATGGGAACTAACAGTATACAACGGTCCTCACACATGTTGTGCTGGAGGGGTCAACCAAGATCATCCCAACTTGGACTCTGAAATGATATGCCAAGCTATCATGCCCATGGTAAAAACAAACTCTCATATAGCTGTTACAGTGTTGATTTCAGCTATACAATCGCAGTATAGGTACACTGTCTCCTATAAAAAAGCTTGGTTGGCAAAATAAAATGCCATTGTCAAACTTTATGGCAAATGAGATGCATCTTACAACGAACTTCCAGGTTTGTTTAGGCTGGTGCGGACGTTGAATCCTGGGATAATTGTGGACTTCAAAACCTCCTATACATACCATAATGATATAGTTCTTCGCGATTGAAGCTAATTCTACCGGGTTTTTTGGAGTTATCCACAGTGCGTTAATGCTACCAAATACTACAAGCCTGTGGTCCAGATCGACGGGACTTTCTTGTATGGAAATACAAGCAAGTTTTATTATTGGCAGTTGTCCAAGATGGCAATCGTAACATTCTTCCAGTTGCTTTTGCTCTTATCGAATGAGAAAATACAGATTATTGGGCTTTTTTCCTCTGAAATTTACGTGCACATGTTATCATGAGGGAAAACATTTGTGTCATTTCAGATCGTGAAGCTGGGATCAAAGCAGCAATGGAGTCTTTGGGTCCAATGTGGCAACCACCCTTTGTCCAACATAGGTATTGTCTCCGACACATTGCTGCGAACTATCATGGAAGGTACAAGAAGAATGATGAGTGTCAATTAATTATGCGCATGGGTAAGTGAAACTGATGTAGTTTGTTTTCTTTCAATCGTTTTAATTTTGCAAAGAAAGCAAGTTAGTAAGTTATACATTTTTTGATCAAGTTACGAACTACTTCCTCGAACGTTTGAATCAATGCTTCAAGATTTACGGGCGAAGAACGAGGAAGGATACGATTACATCAGCCTCATTGATAAAGAAATGTGGACAAACGCATATGATGGTGGATATCGATATGGATACATGACGACCAACTTGGCAGAGGCAATCAATTCAACTTTAAAGGGTGCACATCATTTACCAGTAGTGACTTTGGTAAAGACTACATATTTTTGTTTGGGGGTGCTTTTTGCGAAGCTCGGGAGACAAGCTCAAACCTGGATACAAGGCGGTCATATCTATCACCCTAGATTAGTTGCAGATCTACAGAAAAAAATTGCTGCATCAAATGGAATGTCTGTAACAAGCTTCTCTATCATGAAATGTTTCGTGTCACAGAGTTGCCGCGACCTCTTCAAGGGATTGAAGTTGTGTCGTTAAGAGTAAATCTAAGGGACAGAACGTGTGACTGCGGGTTTTTTCAAGCTCTGAAGTATCCATGCTCTCATGTGATAGCAGCTTGCTCGCATACACGTTAAGACTATAACCATTTTGTGGATCCCGTATACCTACTATTTGAAGTTTTTAAGGTATACGAATTTGAGTTTCCCCCCATAGGTAATGACAAAGAACCTGATGAGGTTCAAGATTGGCTTTCGATTGTACCAAATCCGAGTTTATTGAGGGAGCGTGGTCGTCCAAAATCCAATCGAATTCATTGCGATATGGATATTCGAGAAAGATCTAGACAAGACAGAAGATGTGGGCATTGTAGAAACCCAGGACACACTGGAAAAACATGTCTACTTCTATTGCCATCAAGTAAGAATTGATGAGGAAAAGATGTATTTGTTTATCAAATAATAATTCTTGTACTTTGATTTACATTTACTTCAAGTTAATGTCATTCGATAATTGCTGATGAAGATTAAAAAAACGAACACAATCATTAAATTTTATCAAACTAATAACAATTTGGTATTTGAATATAATTTTAAATACAACAAACTTACAATAAGAATTAAATGGTAAATGATAACCAAATTACAATAACTGATATTAAATGGTAATAAACAAAATTAACTGAAATACATTAAAAAAAAGTCCAACAAATTTAACAAAATAAAGTAAGTATTAAATGAGAAATAATAAAAATTACAATTTAACAAAATAAAGTAAATACAAATATAATAAAAAAAATCTATCGATGCATGCAACGTGAATGTGTTCTGCAGGGCGGTGGCTGTCGGTCTCGAGGAGGATTTCTTCGTATCATTGGTTCTGACTCCTCGCTGTCATCATCATCACCATCGTCATCATTGTCGTCGTCGTCCTGAGTAGGTACATTAGGTTGATGAGGAGCTGATGACGATGAAGCACCTCCATAGAATAAGGACCCTGGAGATGTAAGACTGAC